GGGGTACGCTGTAGTACTCGAGTAGTTTCCAAATTACTTCATGGTTAGCGCTGTCGAAGGCCTTCTCGAAGTCTATAAAGTTGACGTAGAAGTTTGATTGCCATTCCATGCTTTGTTCAATGATGATGCGTAGAGTTGCGAATTGCCTTTCTTGAATCCAGCTTGTTCAGGTCAGAGTTCTGCATCCAGTGGTTTCTTTATTCTCTCCAGGATGATGCGACTCAGGATTTTAGTTGGCGTCGACAGGAGCATGATTCCTCGCCAGTTCTTGCAGAGTGTGGCCTAAGTCGCCCTTCTTTGGTAGTTTCACGAGGTAACCTTTCCTCCAGTCAGTAGGCACCTTTCCCTCCTTCCAGACCTTTTGTTATAATGGAGTCAGCATATCTGCTGTAGTCTCTGGGTCTGCTTTCAGTGCTTCAGGGGGTATTCCATCTGGTCCGGCTGCTTTTCCAGCTTTCAGAAGCTTGATTGCATTCAAGACTTCAGCTCTCGTTGGAGGATTGGTGTAAACTTGCAGTTGTGTACGTGCTGTTGTTGGTATTTCTGGATGGGTTGCAGGTGATGGTCGGTTCAAGAGTCCTCCGAAGTGATCCGCCCATTGTTTAATCTGTTTTTCTTCCTTGGTAATTGGGTTCCCTTGGCTGTCTTTTATAGATTTCACTTGTGTTGATGTCTTCCCGAATAGAGATTTGGTTATCTGATATGGTGTCCTCAGGTCCCTTTTGCCTGCTGCCTTCTCAGCTTCAGTGGCGAGATTGTCGTAGAATCGTTTTTTGTCCTTCCTAGCACTCATCTTCACTTCTTTGTCAAGTGCTGTGTAAGTTGAGCTCAGCATGCCTTTCTGTTTTCCGTCTTTGCATTGAATCATTTTCTCTTTAACCATTCTCCTCTCTTCTATTAGCTTCCAAATGTCCATTGAGAGCCATTCCTTGTCTTGTCTCTTCTTTCTTCCTAAAACCGTTGAACACATTTCGTTGAAAATCGCCTTCAGTGATGTCACGTAGTGTTTCCTGCTTTGCTCTGACAGCTGCAGTGAAAGTGTCTTTTGTGGTTTTGTCCTTCAGTTTCTGAGTGTTGAACTTGTATTGTGGCCTATCCCCAGCTATCCTCGAGGCTTTTAGTTTCACCTTGAAAGTCCCTTGTACTAGATAGTGGTCTGAACCCACATCTGCTCCTCTCCTTGACCTTGTGTCCAGTAGGCTCCGTCTCCACTTTCTTGAAATTGAGATGAAGTCTATTTGGTTCTTGGTGTTTCCATCTAGTGAAATCCATGTCGTCTTGTGTATATCCTTGTGTTTGAACACACTACCACCAATCACTAAATCATTAAAGGCGCAGAAGTCTGAGAAGAGTTCACCATTGTCGTTCATTTCACCGAGGGCCTCGCGACCCATGGTGAGTTGTCTTCCGGTATTGTCTCCTCCCAGCTTCGCATTCATATCGCCCATCAGGATTTTGATATCGCCATTTGGGACGTTGTCCATCACTGTTTGTAGTTGTCTGTAGAAATCCTCCTTCTCTTGTTCTGAGACGTTTGTAGGCGCATAGCATTGATTGATTGTAAGCTTCCTTCCTTTTGAGTTGAACCTGGCTGTCATTATCCTGGAGGAGATTGGTTCCCACTGGATGAGAGCTTTGGCTACTGTTGGTGACATCATGATGGCCACTCCCTCAGTGTGCTCGTGATTGTCCTCTGGGTGACCGGAGTAGATTATTGTCTCCCCAGTTGGTAGTTGGCACCTTCCAGTTCCGTTCTATCTGCTCTCGCAGATTCCCAACACTTCTATTCTGTACCTTCTTATTTCAGCGGCTATCTGGGCAGCCTTTCCAGTTTCGTACATTGTGCGAACATTCTAAGTACCCATCCTTACTTTTGCTTCCATCGAAAGAAGGCACATCGGCTGACTAGCTTCTCGAAGGCTTTCACCAGCCTGAGTCATTTCACTTCCCCTATTCCAGCGAAAAATAAGGTTACTTTTATATTTTTAGAATTTTTAGTATATTGGTGCATTGAAGTTTCTGTAGCGGCTTGGTTGAGTTTTGCGGGTGGAGTTGCTAGCACCACGCCCCAATCCACCCTCTTTATCCGGGCTTGGGACCGGCTAGAAAACTAGCAAGCTAGTAGTCTAGGCGAGGTTCGGCCCAAACCTACAGAATAGAAAAAAGATTTAACAACACTTGGAAGGAAGTACTGGTACATGAAAGGTGAAAACGCTTCGTAAGAAAGGTGTCGGCTGAAAATATATTCTAGCCGCCACGTAGAGCCTCAGTACCTTATTGATCGACTTTGCTTACTTGCTCAACCTCATTATCACTGAATATATTACTCTACATAACGCTACTGGTTGAACAGAAGCACCTATGGTCTCATAACTGTAAAGACGAAGCGAACTCATGCACAGTATATAGGTCCATTCATAGATAACTTAATTAGGAGAAGACTTTTGTTTGCCTGCAGACTACTTACATTGAGAGAGTTGATCTATTCTAACAGTTTCCGAAAGAGTAAAAGGATTTGGTTGTAGACAACTGTCTAAGGTCAGTCAACATACAGTCCTTTTGGAGATAATGGAGGAAAACTAACTGTCGCCTTCAAGTCGACTAGAGGTAAATTTTTATGCCAGTGAGTTTATTCATCACGCGAGAAAATGTAAAATATTTTGAATATAATGTATACGAATAACAGCAACCTTTAGGTTGACTAAAATACCCACATAGTTTACAAAATCATTGTGATAGCTGTGATCCGATTCGTAGCATAGTGCACCCTGTGTAAGTCATGACATTGAACAACACAAAGCGGGTGAACTGTATACTGACTGACTAGTTTCAACATAGAACTTTGCACAGATGTGCAGCAGTTCCAGTTGCCACTTTCTATGCAGCACACAAAGCAAGAGAAGAGAGTAAAGGGAGGTTCAAAAGACAGATAATTAATAGTAGTGTGATGGAAAAAGAATAGTAATATGACAGAGCAATAGAGTTTTGTTGCATATGACAAATCAGAAAGAGTGGATGCATCTGTGCCATTAACTACGACGATTTTGAGCCATATCACCAATTGTCTCCAGTCGTCATTGGTTCTTACCATCCCGAAGACCTCAGTTCGTTAGGTAGTCTGCAGCTTCCTACGTGGCCGACTTAAACTAACTGTCATGGATTTGGCTAACTAATGATTCCATGTTTTCGTTTGACCACCACTAGCTCTTTTCCAACTTGATCAATTGTATGTCAGCTACTGTTGCCGGTCGATGAAGGCGATTGATAGCTAGGCATCCATGCACAACACGTTTCCTAACCATCTGAGTCGGTGTAACTTCACAACCTCATCGATTGATTTCCATCCCCCTCTGATTATTTAGCACCTCAGTATTAGTCACCCTATTATACCACTATCTTGGACGGGAGACAGAAGACAGATACCTGTGATGAAAGGCACCTAGGAGGCCTTTTCATGTCTTCCACTTTCAATGACCATGTCTGACGGCGAGCAAGAAGGAGGATGGAGCAAACTGCTGCTACTGTGGAGTGCACACGTCCTTTAATTGAGAGGCGAATATCACGTCTTCTAAGGCAGAGATGGCGTGAGTTGGCGTATGGGGAATGAGACTTGTGTATGCGTTGTGAGATTTCGTCAGGGATCAACCCGTTGGCGTTGGCTGATACAACTTCCTAAATAAGTGAAGTGGTCTACATGCTCTACCACCTGTCTCCCTATCTTAAAAACTAGTAGTCGCTTCAGACCAGTCCTGTAACATCATCTTGCATTTGATGGGAGTGAGTTGCATGCCAAACATTCAAAGATTGTTGCTCAAAGTATTCAGAAGACTGTATTTTGTCATCGTCTTCATCTATGAGGCAGGACCATATTGTCTGCATATTCTAAGTCAGCGGGATTATTCCCTGGTAACAAGTCAATCCCAAATCTTTGAAGTCACGTAGGGTTAAGTCCATTAGTACATCAATGGTAGAATTAAACAGGAAGGGAAACAGTAAGCGTCCCTGACGGACACCACTGGTTATCACTTCAGATGACAACTCTCCGTAAGCTCTTACTTGTCTACATGAGTTCGAGTAGAGTTCCTTGGTCAGTGCAATACATTTTCTCGGCGTTCCCTTCACGGTAAAACATTGCCATAGCACCTATCAGTAGACGGAATTGAATGCTGCTTTCATGTCAAAATATATAGAAATTGTTGGACGCTGGTATGCTTTTGTTCCAGAAACTGTCGGAGGGTGAAAATATGATCATTGCACCTTTTTCCTAGTCTAAAGCCTGCCTTATTCTCTCGTGTTTGTTCTTCCCGAGCAACACCACTTAGTCTACGTATGATTATTGAGCGTGGAGCTTTAGATACCATATTAGTCAAGGAGATCCCCCTGTGATTATCACAGGAAGACTTGTTTTCCTTCTTGTATGCTTAGATAATCAATGACTTACACCAGTCCAACGGCAGTATTTCTGATTCCCAAACGTTGCCTAATGCTTTAGTTAGCTCAGTCAGTAAATTGTCTCTAGCGCCCTTAAACACCTCTGGAGCCATTTCATCAGGCCCTGCTTCTTTGCCTCGTTTCAGACTAGAGACAGCCTTTGTGACCTCAGTTAAGGACGGAGGACTGTTGTGTATATTCCGTTCAGAGAGTTGTTTGGTGGTCGGTAAGTTGAGCGCACACGTCCTTTGGTGGAGAGGCAAATATCACGTCTTCTGAGTTAGTGTATGGGGAATGAGACTTGTGTATGCGTTGTGAGATTTCGTCAGGGATCAACCCGTTGGCGTTGGCTGATACAACTTCGTGAATAAATGAAATAGTCAACACACTCCACCGCTTCACTCCCATAGTAAACTGCATACTTTTAATGTTATGTTATTTATATAATCAGATCACATGTTTGCTTTTTATAATTTCTATCACACCTGCGAAATTCACAGATAATTCGATATGTGCCTATCTTATCGTCACTTGTTGAAGATTGTTTCTCCTTTTTTTAAAATTTCTAGTGCTTTACTGATGGACCACTAATTCAGTCAACTAAACTTATAGGAAAAATTGCAATCAGTTCATTTAAACATCTTGGTCGCCTTCGGGGATCTTCGAATTCTGTTTATCGTGTTCAAGGTGTAGCAATACCATCAGCTTTCCTCACACACTTTACGACTTTCAACCGTCTTATCCAGTGGTCTCAGTTGCCCAATGCAGAAATTGATGCCTTTCCAGATTATGTAGAAGCTTATAAGTGACAAATGTAAACCCAAAATCCAGTTATTTTTCATTGTATTATATTTAACATATGACGTTAACAAATCACTTTGTACTATTATCAGCCAATTACAATAAACTGATCAAAGACTTCCTATTCTCTTTGAAACCAAAGATGATTTCTTGATTAAGATAACACTGACGCATCTTTATCGATGGCAAATAGCAGGTAAAATTATATTCCTTATAAATATTCACAGAGAAAGATTAGAACTACGCCATGGAATCTGCAAACATCCTCCAACAAATCGTTCCGAAACTACTTCTATCACGTTCCATGCCACCTCAAGCAATTTATGCCCGTGACTACCGAAGTAGATTTACATAAACCTACATCGAAAAATATAAAAAATTCCAAAAAAGCCTCCTGAGACCCTTAAATATAAAAAATACCGGGAGAATTCAGGCCGTTTACTATTTCCAACACCGATCAGGGAACCCTAGTTCATTCATAAAGGAATTAATCCAAGATATTACGAGCACATTTCACCCCTCGTATACGATTCCCCCTTATCACTTCATGTATACTCTCCCTGGTTGGCTCCACTATCCATTTCAACACTGAACACTCCTGGTACACTGGTGACATTGTCGTCAGACTTCAAGTCGTGTAACAGTTCTCCATCTGAATATATATCTACATACGCAGGATACTTCTAAGATTCTAGCCTGTCCGAATAACGCCACACTTCACATCCCTCACCTACCAACGTGTCCGTCCGTAGTACATTACAATAAGCTCGCTAACAAGACTTGTCATCATTCCTGTCTGTCTGTCTGTTTTCGACATAGAACTTTGCACAAATGTGCGGAAGTTCAAGTCGCCACATTCCGTGTAGCACGCGAAGCAAGAGAAGAAAGTACAAGAAAAGCATAATAGAAACAGTGAGCAGAGGTGTGAGACAAAGGAGTAATAAATAAATACAAAACAGTTTCATTGAAGATCATAAGTCACAGGGAGTGGATGCATCTGCGCCACTGAGAACGATTTTGAGCCATGTCACCAATTGTTTCCAACCATAGATTTTTGCCGTCCCGAGGACCCCAGCCTGGAAGTCTACACCTTCCTAGTCTCCCAGTGCTCACTCATTAACGCGCTACTCGTATCACGAACCTATGGCTCAATCCACCTATCTATACCATACCACAATACTTCATCACAACTCGACAAGGCAATCTGGTGTACATGCAAATTATAGGCACTACTGGATCACCATTAACTAATATATGCAATTTGCATAGGAATCAGGAAAATAAGTTAGTCAGTCCACCTCCCAAATGCAGGAGTGAAGACTTCGAGACATGTTTGTCTCCTGAAGTGAATCACTCTGCTTAGGAGCTAAAATAAAAGCTGATATGACAGTCAATACATCACTCTTCCATCATCACACGAAGCCAACCTTTCACCAACACCCTTAATCCTGGTAGTTTCGTCTTTTCAAGCTACACCTCTCAACAGCCAGTCGGCTTGAAATCATCAGCTGAATTGTCGAGATCGGCCTGTTTGTGTCCTTTCAACTGTCAAGATAGCATAGCCTTGATTTCCTTAGGATATGTGAGGAGTGGGAGTGGAGCGCTTAATGCCTGCATTCTTCATTGATCGTTCGACGGTGTACTTTCAACTGACACCGAAGACTTCAAGAAATAATCCTCGTCTTTTGTTGTGGCAAACTCATGAAGCCGACCGATTATTCCATAATTTTTTCAACTATCTACAAGACAAGTAGTCGTCCATATGACGCCTTTGATGGTCAGTCCCATCCCAAGTCAACAGATGGATCAGGTACCATGACCAATCACTGTCACCCTCTCACTCCCAAACAGGTCGACACGATATGAATTCTGAGAGCTACTGGTTTTGTGAAAATGTCAACAAATCACATCCAACTCTCTTCTTCGACCGCCACACTCACATCTGATAAGATTTCATTCTGTTCATGAAAGAAAGAAACAAAGAAAATCTCAGCACTACTGACTGAATCACAACTGCCTCCACTTGCACACACATACACGTCGCCTCACACGATGACAAGTAGGTGGACACAAACCACTCCAACAACCTGTTGCCTTGCATATCACGCTTACGCCACATACACAACACACAAATAATCCATCACCATCTCACACTAACCAGCGATTTTCGATTCGATTAGGAGATGCATCACACACTACTGCCTAAACAATTTCTCATCTCACTACTATGCATCTGAATTGACTCACTCGCCTAGCTATTCTCATCCTTTATCATCTCACCTCATCCTATAGTCAATGAATACATTCTTCAAGTCAGAGTAGAGCTTGGTCACAGTCTCCCAGTAGAACGTCTTACCACACGAGTCTATTTCATGCAGGCAGTATTAATCCACGATATTACGAGCACATTTCACCCCTCGTATACGATTCCCCCTTATCACTTCATGTATACTCTCCCTGGTTGGCTCCACTATCTATTTCAACACTGAACACTCCTGGTACACTGGTGACATTGTCGTCAGACTTCAAGTCGTGTAACAGTTCTCCATCTGAATATATATCTACATACGCAGGATACTTCTAAGATTCTAGCCTGTCCGAATAACGCCACACTTCACATCCCTCACCTACCAACGTGTCCGTCCGTAGTACATTACAATAAGCTCGCTAACAAGACTTGTCATCATTCCTGTCTGTCTGTCTGTTTTCGACATAGAACTTTGCACAAATGTGCGGAAGTTCAAGTCGCCACATTCCGTGTAGCACGCGAAGCAAGAGAAGAAAGTACAAGAAAAGCATAATAGAAACAGTGAGCAGAGGTGTGAGACAAAGGAGTAATAAATAAATACAAAACAGTTTCATTGAAGATCATAAGTCACAGGGAGTGGATGCATCTGCGCCACTGAGAACGATTTTGAGCCATGTCACCAATTGTTTCCAACCATAGATTTTTGCCGTCCCGAGGACCCCAGCCTGGAAGTCTACACCTTCCTAGTCTCCCAGTGCTCACTCATTAACGCGCTACTCGTATCACGAACCTATGGCTCAATCCACCTATCTATACCATACCACAATACTTCATCACAACTCGACAAGGCAATCTGGTGTACATGCAAATTATAGGCACTACTGGATCACCATTAACTAATATATGCAATTTGCATAGGAATCAGGAAAATAAGTTAGTCAGTCCACCTCCCAAATGCAGGAGTGAAGACTTCGAGACATGTTTGTCTCCTGAAGTGAATCACTCTGCTTAGGAGCTAAAATAAAAGCTGATATGACAGTCAATACATCACTCTTCCATCATCACACGAAGCCAACCTTTCACCAACACCCTTAATCCTGGTAGTTTCGTCTTTTCAAGCTACACCTCTCAACAGCCAGTCGGCTTGAAATCATCAGCTGAATTGTCGAGATCGGCCTGTTTGTGTCCTTTCAACTGTCAAGATAGCATAGCCTTGATTTCCTTAGGATATGTGAGGAGTGGGAGTGGAGCGCTTAATGCCTGCATTCTTCATTGATCGTTCGACGGTGTACTTTCAACTGACACCGAAGACTTCAAGAAATAATCCTCGTCTTTTGTTGTGGCAAACTCATGAAGCCGACCGATTATTCCATAATTTTTTCAACTATCTACAAGACAAGTAGTCGTCCATATGACGCCTTTGATGGTCAGTCCCATCCCAAGTCAACAGATGGATCAGGTACCATGACCAATCACTGTCACCCTCTCACTCCCAAACAGGTCGACACGATATGAATTCTGAGAGCTACTGGTTTTGTGAAAATGTCAACAAATCACATCCAACTCTCTTCTTCGACCGCCACACTCACATCTGATAAGATTTCATTCTGTTCATGAAAGAAAGAAACAAAGAAAATCTCAGCACTACTGACTGAATCACAACTGCCTCCACTTGCACACACATACACGTCGCCTCACACGATGACAAGTAGGTGGACACAAACCACTCCAACAACCTGTTGCCTTGCATATCACGCTTACGCCACATACACAACACACAAATAATCCATCACCATCTCACACTAACCAGCGATTTTCGATTCGATTAGGAGATGCATCACACACTACTGCCTAAACAATTTCTCATCTCACTACTATGCATCTGAATTGACTCACTCGCCTAGCTATTCTCATCCTTTATCATCTCACCTCATCCTATAGTCAATGAATACATTCTTCAAGTCAGAGTAGAGCTTGGTCACAGTCTCCCAGTAGAACGTCTTACCACACGAGTCTATTTCATGCAGGCAGTATTAATCCACGATATTACGAGCACATTTCACCCCTCGTATACGATTCCCCCTTATCACTTCATGTATACTCTCCCTGGTTGGCTCCACTATCTATTTCAACACTGAACACTCCTGGTACACTGGTGACATTGTCGTCAGACTTCAAGTCGTGTAACAGTTCTCCATCTGAATATATATCTACATACGCAGGATACTTCTAAGATTCTAGCCTGTCCGAATAACGCCACACTTCACATCCCTCACCTACCAACGTGTCCGTCCGTAGTACATTACAATAAGCTCGCTAACAAGACTTGTCATCATTCCTAGTCTCCCAGTGCTCACTCATTAACGCGCTACTCGTATCACGAACCTATGGCTCAATCCATCTATCTATACCATACCACAATACTTCATCACAACTCGACAAGGCAATCTGGTGTACATGCAAATTATAGGCACTACTGGATCACCATTAACTAATATATGCAATTTGCATAGGAATCAGGAAAATAAGTTAGTCAGTCCACCTCCCAAATGCAGGAGTGAAGACTTCGAGACATGTTTGTCTCCTGAAGTGAATCACTCTGCTTAGGAGCTAAAATAAAAGCTGATATGACAGTCAATACATCACTCTTCCATCATCACACGAAGCCAACCTTTCACCAACACCCTTAATCCTGGTAGTTTCGTCTTTTCAAGCTACACCTCTCAACAGCCAGTCGGCTTGAAATCATCAGCTGAATTGTCGAGACCGGCTTGTTTGTGTCCTTTCAACTGTCAAGATAGCATAGCCTTGATTTCCTTAGGATATGTGAGGAGTGGGAGTGGAGCGCTTAATGCCTGCATTCTTCATTGATCGTTCGACGGTGTACTTTCAA